ATATATATATATATATATATATATATATATATATATATAAAATATATGTATAAAATACTTTTTTCCTTCCAAAAAGTGAATCTTTGTCTGCTTATCTGCCATAAGACACGTTTTTAATTGAGAATTAATATATTTTAACATATTTTAATTGTTTTTTTTTTCCATATAGCAGTATTTATAATCGACTTTTTAGGCCAAAAATATATGTGTAAAAAAACAACACCATGAGACCATGAAAAGTGAAATGCAATATGGTGAGTGACGACTGTTTTATTGATTCATACATTACCTTTCGTTCTAAACTACTTGTTCCGACACTTGGGTTTGGTTTATGGCTGTACATCTGGATACCAGGAGTTGTGGACCAGCAAACTGGATTATCTCGGTGGGATTCGTCTGGACCAGCAAAGCTCTCACCTGGTGGGAGGCCAGCAAAGGAGGGATCACTACTGCGTCGGACATTGAGAGACATGCCTGTGACAAGAAAAAGCAGAGTAAAATAAGGGAGATTAAAAATGGAAAAGTGAGGGAAGGAACAAAGAGAAATTGTGTTTCCGAAATTAACAAATTAATTAATAGAACTTATCAAATTGCACATATAAAATTGAAATTTTCTCTTAATACGAGCATCTGTAATCTCTAATATCTGTACTATGCTCTCAAAATAGGCTATATTTTTACAGCCTGCTGCATTCATCCTTGAGTGAATAGTTTCCCTTGTCTGACATAAGCCCATCAGTACCCTGCCAATAGAATAGAGAAAAAAAGGGCAAACAATGTAATGTTATAGATGCCACAGCAATAAATCTGAGTAGGGTAGAAGGGCAGGAGCAGGAGCCGATTCTAGATTCCATCGGGCAAAAGGTTGGGTACACTTTGGAAAGTTCAGAAGACAAATAACCATAAACACTCACAACATAAACTCAGACATCAAATGTTTACTTATGGCCATCTTAGAATCATCAATTGGCCTACAAAACATGTTTTTGGATGGTGGATGAAACCAGAGTATATTGAAAGAACCCACAAATACATGGTGAGAACATGCAAACTCCACACAGAAAGCCCCCCTCCCCCAGAGATGTGAACTGAGAATCCTCTCCCTGTGAAGCCACCACCCTGCAGCCCCTTACCAAAACAAGTAAAAGGTCTTAAATTGCTCCACATTTCAGTCCAGTTATCCAAAGAAAAAACGCTAAGTGTCTCTTAGAGACTTTGTGTAAACCTTGTGAATTTTCCCTGGATTTGTTTATGATGCTCAAGCAGCAAGAGATTTACACACACTATTATGCAAATGGCTGAGCTACCACCTGTCATCTATCAGTGCATCACTGCAGTGAGCATATGCCAGTACTAAGTATCCATCTGATGCGCCAGAGATTTGGCTTCGCGTTGGACGCGACACATTTTAACCACAGCTCACAATGTGTTCTTCCGTATTGATATCTGTGAAAAGGCTGGGTGAATTTTCATGCCATTGCCCGTTAGAAGCCAAAAAAAGAAGTAAATAAAATCAAAAGGTTAAATCAGCTTGCTCATCAGTGCATTTAATACTCATCCATATGGACATCTGTAGTGAGCTTGTTCTCTTTCTTGCATGCTACTACCTTGGTCCTGCGTCTATGCATTTCTTGAAAATTCCTTCATTATCAAAGGTATTTTGGGGTGTTGGCCTATATGTAAAGATGACCTGACAAGAAAATGAGCAAAGCAAGAGCAAAAAGTGAGCAAATGTATATTTGTAAATGTATGTTCATTTTATCTACTAAGGTTCACCTTTGATATTCTGGTTTCTCTGTTACTATGTCATCAGCTCAGTCCCCATACATTCACAGTGATTTCTGAAGACTTTAACGAGGTTTCCCTCTCAGCAATACTTTTTAACGTCCAACTGATTTCCAGTGGCACCACCAGAGAAATTAAGCAACTGAATAAATTCTACTGAATTCAAAGATACCTATAGCACATTGTCTCTTTGGGCAGGTATATTCACTTTCATTTAAAAAGCATTGGCTAGTAAGACTATAAGGTTTCAAAGGAGAATAACATGTATCCAAATAGATAAATAAATACATAAATAACATGAAAAGCCTTGAAGCTGCGAGGCTAGGGAGAATCGGTGATTTTCTTGGAAAAGGGGCAATTGGCTTCAAATTTTCCTTTAAAAAACAACATAATTATTCTTAAAGCTTATGTATGCAAATATGTCAAATAATGTTTTGGAAATGTAAACATGTTGAGGTAAAAGCTCCCACGTTTTTGAAAATGAAATTTTTACCCACCTGTACCTGAAGTACTGTAGAATATTGTCAACACCATCAGGCAAAAAAAGATTAGCACCGAATTATTTTAATTTAGATATTATTGATATTTTTACTCTTTGTGGTTTCTTTGTTCTTTTAATCACATATGTGTTTTCAAATTAATCATATCACTCTTTAAAGGTTGATTTAGTGTTTAAATAGCATTAGGTTAAATAGTACTGTACTTGATTTTTGTGGTTAATTACTACAGTTCAGTTAGTACAGCATAATCAATTTGGCATTTAATCACCACAATGAACAGTGGCGTTGAGAAATGAAGAGAACATATGCACAACATGAGAAATTCAGCAATTTTGCAGACAAAAGCTTCTCCATAAAGAAAACAAATATCATGGAAAACAAAAAACAATATAAATTCCATCAGACGGAGAGACCTGCCATGACAGTGGTGACGCAGAACAAACACTGGTGACTTGTAAGTAAAAATAAAATTCTGAACTCAAAATGATCACTAAATTCAAATCAATTCAAAAAAGTTGTGGCAGTGGAATTAATCCCCAGATGATAGACCTGTTACATGTTCTCTTATGAAGTGCATGACCACTACTTGTGCAAACTCTGATGATGGTTGCTTCAGCCTAACTAGAATATTTGAGAATAGCACAAGGTATGCATCCCAGTGTGCTACGACATCCTAGTTTTAGCTGGAAATTAAGTTAGACCATAGAGAATGAAAAAATTTAAAATGACATCTTTGTCAATTTTGAATGCTTTCACCGGCTACCAGTTCAGGTCATGCATGACAACAAGCCGGTCTCCACTTTGATCACTGGGGATCTCAGTTTTTTGTGCCTACAGGTCTCCTGCTGGGCTGTTTCTCCATTTCCTCCATCAGCATTACTACAGGCACCCATAATTCAAGTGCAGTTGAGCTTACTGGACATCTGGGTCCTGTGTTAAGCCAAAGAGTGAGTAGCTGGTATAAAACACTATGCCTATAGTGCAAACTTGCAAATACACTTGCAAATCTGTGAATCTTTGCGAAAACATGAGTGGAGCTTACAATGGAACATATTCCCCTGATTTAGCACATGGATGGATTTCAGAGTTTGCATGAAGAGAGTGTCATAAGATCAAGAGTAATAACTTTTCACATATTCTAGTTTGACACCACTTAAATTGTTGGACACTGTGTCATAGAAGGCTCCATCAACAATTTCCCGACCCCTCCTGGCACTTGGACTCTGAGATTGTGCAGAATCCTGTCTTTTCTAACCTGATATAAGAGTGATCTGTGGGAGATTTTTTTCCATCATGACAAGGAAGACTGTACTTCTGTGCCGAATTTACATTTCCAGTCCTGGGAAAAATCAATATGAGCAGTGAACGTGTTTTCATCAGAATTTGTTATCTTGTTTGGTCCTCCTCTTTGGTTTGTGAACAATGTGGTTGTCTCGTTTGTCTTGGAAGAGACACATAAGCTCTGACAGGTGCCAGTGTGTTCCTGCAGTTTGTTGTGAAAGTGAGCTCTATTTTTTGTTTGTTCCTCTACACATTTCCACAGTTTTACCTTCCTCTGGAGAAAGACATGAACAAGCATATAAAAGACTATCTTCTAGGTTACTCGTTGCCACAGCATTGCATCATTTGAGGACCTCAAGCATCACCTTGGTGTCCTCATAGTACAGAAGCTGACAGGTTTTGTCAACCTGAGGCTGTTGGACATGTGATGTGGAATGGAAACAACCAAGTTGCTAAGTTTTGTGTTTGAATCTTGTTGGAGAAATCTACCATGAAGGTTTTGCATCCTCTGACGTTTGACTTTTTCCTGTTGATGGTATCTTGCTCGTCTGTCGTTACCTTTGAATTGTTTTCCAAAAACTTGTGAAGTCTCACTGAGATTCACTGGAGAAAACTAGACTTTTTTTTTTTGTTTTTTTTTTTTCACTCAGTGTTTTGTAAGTCTATCCAAACTCTTGAACCCGCAGAACAACCCAATACTTCTTGGGAATTCTACCGGACAAAGAGAGTCGTGGGTGCCCTGATGCAAGCTTATCTCTTCTGGGAGTCTGAGGAGCATTACTTTTCAACTCTGCAGTCAAGGCATGGTAGAAGAGCAATGGTCTTTTGATCAAAGGATTCCTTGTTTTGCTCCCTTGAAGCAACTTTTCTGTCTTAGTCTGAGATGAGTGTTGTGTATTTCTGTTCTGAGCACTGCATTTTTCTTTTAAGTGCGAAAGTCGCTTTTTGGTCTTTCTCTTGCCAACTTGTTAATTTCATCTCTCAGCGCTTTGATCTATCTTGAGTGTCTTTTCCTGATTTTAGATCTCTCCCTCTCCCCTGCTAAAAGCTGCCTTCTGCTCCTTGGCTCCTCAAAATTAGAATCTCTGGAACTCTGTGGTGGGGTATCAAGACCTGCTGGTCTTAATGTGCTCTCTTTCTGCATTCTCTTGACTCCTTATGTTTTTGCTTCCAAAATATTCTCTTTCGCCTCTTATCTCTTTCTCCCATGGCATATGTTTTATTTTTCTCTACTCCGCTCTTTTTTCTCCATCTTCAGCTCAGGCAGACTATGAATTTTTTACTACTGCCTGTATTTTCTCCCCTTCCTCTCTTCCACTCTTCAATAAGAAATAAATATATTTTTATGACCTAAGATTAAAGGATTAAGACAATTATGTTACATTTAAAACATACAGTTATACATTTTTTCAATCTTAGATTAATGTGAAGGGATCAAATTTATGTAAAATACATTAAAACAAGTACATTACACACAGTGTGATTTGTTAGCACCATCACAAGGAAGTCAGTTTAATACCCCAACAGTGTAGTCATCTTATGAAATTGACAGAATGCTGTTTTGTCGTCATTTACATTTTTACTGGCTGAAGCCATCTTTTGCATCATCACTTTCTTGAGACCCTTTACAATATACTAAACTGAAACACTAATTTCACAAGACTCTCCTAAAATTGAGTATTTTATCAATCATGGTGTTGACAGACTATGGTTGTGAGGTACAATTTAGAAAAGAAAAAGGAACAAATACACAAAAAATCACTGAAGTTTACAAGGGTTAGCTAGCTCTCATTGCATAAGGAAGAAAAAGGAAGTGGTCAAAAGCGCTTCAGAACTTTTGATGCCCCCTATAACTTCTGATTTTTTGTACGTCTGATCATGTTGACAGAATCTCTGGAGATAATTCAAATTGACTTGTAGAGATTTTAGATTTAAATTATTCTTAGTTGCATTTATTGATAATTAATTAATTATTTACTTCAAAACTTATATTTAGTGGTTATATTATTGTATTTTATTTATTTGTTTAAATATATTTTGATGTATTGAGTTCTTCTCTGGAACAACAGATTTTTTTAGACACTGCACAAACTACATAATTAAAAAACTATTCCCCAATCAACATGAAAGCTGATTTTGTCAAAATTAGTTCCCAGTCATTTGCAGAAATTATATTTGGTGTACTGTATATTTTTTGTGTGACATTGACCCAATTTGGACCTCTAAAACTCCCTTTTAAGGATATCACTTTACTAATCATTCTTATTGTGAGTTTACCATTACATTAATTGACAATTAAGCTGTAATACTGTAATCTGTGTGTCTAAAAATATACTCAACATGCTGCAATCAAAACACTGAAGGATACGGTTTATATTTATACATATGACAAAGCTTTTTATGTAACACAGGTGGACAATTATATTATATGCATCTGACTATATCGTGATAAAGAGAATTGTCAGAGGAATTTTTCAGTTCAAGAAAGTGGAGTTGATGAAAGTAGTATCAATGAGGATTTACAAACTGAATTCTCAATAAATTGTACACTCTGTATCTAGTTGAAATCATTGACATAATTCAAGTTCTATGGTAGGAACCTCAAAGCATTTGTAACATAAAGTCGCAGAGAGGCTGGAGCCTATCCAAGATGCCAAAAGGACTTGTACACATAGAAAGTTGTTTATAACAGGATCAACATGGAGACAACCATGCACACTCACATGCATTGCTCGTATGTTTTTAGAATGCAAGCCCAACTTTCTTGGATGGAACACTCAAACGCCACACAGAAAGGCAACAGCAGAGATTCAAAATGGATACCATCTTGCTGTAAAGAAAGCAGTGGCACTGTGTCACCATAATGCTGCCACCAACATGACCCAGCAGCAGCTTTTAATCTAGTGGCTATTCTGTTGTTGCCAATGCGCTTCATTTATTTTGGATACTGCCCATAGGCATCTTGAGAGGATGTTGGAAATCAAATGAAGAAACCACATTTCCTATAAACTAGCCTGCCAGTCACTGTGAATTTACTTTAAAATTAGGTTGAAGTTCAATAACAGCATTCAATAAGCTTTTACCCCTTTCGGTAATGGCTGGTTTATGTCCAGTTCAGAACTCTAAGCAGGGGTAATTAATGTCAGCTTTTTAGACAGAAAGAAATTCAGGAGATGGGAATTGAAAGTGACAGAAGGGAGCAAGGACTATTAGACAAGAAATACAAAATCTAAAACTTTGTGAACCTTTTATTTTCCAGAATATCTCAAGGCTCAGGTCTTCCTGGATTTTTTAAATCTTTGGAATATATTTCATACATAAATGTAAATGTGACTGGTTCCAGGTGCTTATCATTGTGGATAGACAGGATCATTTGCACTGTCTGCAAAACAAGCCCCTGCAACTTTAACATCAAGATCGTTGGTCTTATAATGCTTTACATCAAGGGAGTTGGTTATGTCTATTAAGAATTTGACAGGTTATAGATAAGTCGATATAACTTTGTTTCAAACTCAGCAAACTGCAACTTTTCAATTTCATCAGTATTTTCAATTGCTGCTCAAGATGTGTCAACTTCTCTTTCACCCATGATGATCATAATGATGATCTTTTTCCTCATTTTCCCCAACCAATGTCCTTCTATGCAATTTGTGATGGGATTATTCCAGTATTCCAAAGACTTTGGGTGTTCCCACGTTTAATATCCAGCACCACAACTTCGCAACAAACCAGAATCGATCTAGACTGATGAAGGACTGAGGCTATTTGGTAGAGATGGGGGGGAGCTAATAAATAGAGGCCCTAATCCAGCCCCCTTAGTGAGGGATTATGGTGAGGGCACAGGGTCACAGGCATATACACACACCAAAATTCACCAAGGAGATATCCGATTTAAGGGGATATTACTTTTTATAGCTTTGTCCTTTATTTATTTTTCATGGCTTGAAGGCAAACCATGAAAAAAAAATATATATATATATATATTTACTGATATTCATAGATATATAATCATAGATAAAAACACTGTCATAAACATATCAATATAAAATTCAGATGCTTATATATCTCTGTATTTGTGTGTGTGTCATAATTGTCAAAGTCATTTTGATTCATATTAAAATGGAAAATCTTATGTGTTAAAACTGGGCAAGCAGTTAGAGGATGATGCAACTGAGCTTTGTCGTGGCCATTGTGGGTGTTATTTATTTCAAGTTTTCTATAGGCTCAACCATTTCTAATTAGAAAGTTCACAGTCTTCTCTTATAACAGTATGCTTCAAACGAGTGGTACGAGTAAAAATGCAATTCTTCATGCCTAATGTGGTTAAATCAAGATAAACATCACTTACATTTTCAACATAGTGGTCAAGGGTTTTGAAGGGTAATCTCTAAAGTATCGGCTCTAGAAGTTAAAAGTCACTCAAATGGCATGAAGTAAAGAGTCCTTGTAATTTGAAGAAATTAGTGGCTTATTCTTTTGTCTGGCTGCTAAATTGAGCAATTCAATTTAATAAAATTGTATTTATATAGCACCGAATCACAACAACACTTATCTCACAGCGCTTTCCAAATAGAGCAGGTCAGACCCTACTCTGAAGTTATTTACAGAAGCTTCAACAATTTCCAGTAACCAAGTAACAATTCCATCTGCATGATGATAAAGTTACAGATAAAACAGTGTAAAAAGTAATGCTGGTTGATTTTGCATTCTTGTTTTCTATGTCTGTGATGCTGCTTTACCACGAACGAACAACAAATCGCGTAATATATTTTTAGGAAAAATCCTGTGTGGAAGACCAAACTATATAAAGTTATTTCTACACATGTAAAAAAATAAAATAAAATAAACTGCCAAAGTCAGGTTTATTGTTGTCTTGACCCCTCAAGTCATAGTATAAATAAAAGTAGAATTCCATGATGATCATTCCGCAGCTTTATGGACTCCACATTTCAGATGAAGACATTTGACAAAAAAAATGTCAGTTGTGAGGTGGGTTAGTGTCAGTATCTACGTACAGCAGGTATAATATTAAATCCATATTGCACCATATCTTACAAATGATAACCACCTGGTGGATTTTTCCTGCACAGTGAGATGTGATTCAAGGTTATAGACTAAATTAAGTCAGATTCCTGCGAATGGTATTTAAATACAAATGAGAGTTCACAGAAAGTATAAATGCAACACTAACAGATGAAGGATGAAAAGTAGAGTGGGGATTTTCTCTCGTGGCCCTGAAGACTCTGTGTACTCTGAGTCGATGCTTTCATGTTTAACTGATTTAAATATAAATGCCAAGTGACCATGACCTTTTGAAATAACTAAAAGCTTTTATTTCTTCTCATGAGGTATTTTGAATTCTTCAGGCCAGTTATATGTCTGAATAAATCATGGTACTGAGCCATTTTAACTCTCACTGGCAACATACTGGTGCTCTTTGTGTTCCGGGGAATTTCCACTGAATACACAGTGACCTGAACGATCCACATGTTAAATAGGAGAGCAATGTGGTTCTGGAGTGGTGGGAATTATTTCTGTGGAGATAGAGATTCTAAGGGCTCATGTTTAAAAAACAAAAAACAAAAAAACACTGATTAACTAATAGCCAAAAAAGCAGGGGAGAGAATAACATTCCAAGGGCTCATGTGAAATATCTAACATAATGCAATCTCGTGTAATATCACAAAGCAAAACAAAACTAACTTTGAATAAACATCAACTATTGGCCTCCTCCCCAAGAGCAATTAAATACAGATGGATGGTTGCAAAAATGCTTGAAGAACATCTGGGAAAGAGAAAAAACATTACTTGAATCTGAAGTTGGATATTTGGATACTGTGTCATGCATGCATACTTTACACATATGCATAGTGTTGCTGCTTGTGGCCCAGAACCTTCTTGCTGTGAGGCTAACCACCACACTACCGTGCGGTTAACATACAAAATGTTAGTCTTATATTAAGGTAAAACATTAAATATTACAAAATTTAGAGTCAAACTTTTTTTTTTAAATTCAAGCACCAACAAAAATAAAAAACGACTGCATGCATTAAGCTCATTAAAGACTTCACACATTTTCTATCATTAAGATGGGCTGATTTGGACTGTTTATTCACACTCTTACCATTAAAGTTACAACTAAATACAACAATAGTTAAAATCTATTCTAAAAAAACTACTTTGTTCCAAATTCTTGCTTGGCTGTTTCTGCTGGCCTCTGCAAAATAAAGAGGTCCATTTTCAATGTACCCTTCAAGACCAATTCAACTGTTACATCTCAATGAGCAAGACAGTAACTCTTGGCTGTAAACCTTTCAAGTATCGTTTTGATCATTGATTTTTTTTCTGATTTGTTTGTCCCGACAGTAGGGTTTGCCTTGAAGAAATTGATTATTTAAAACTTTAATCACTATTTACCAGAAGGTCACTCCCTTCGGAAATGTACTTCCTGCCTTCATGTTATTTCTATTAGTTTACATTCATATAATATTCCATCACAGTGCTTGAGTTTCAAAGAACTGAGCTAAGGCAGAAGTAAAGTACAAGCAGACAGCATTTACACAGGGTTGCTGAGTTAACCATTTCATTTCTCTCTGAACATGATACAGAGAGAAAAATAGACTAAATCTCTCTTCACAACTTACGGACAACTTACTGGAGAGAAAAAAGGAGGGGATGTCAGCCTTTATCAAGTCCGCAGTGACTAAGCCTCCAGCAGCCAATGCGGAAACACTTCAACAACAAAAACACAAAGCATGTGTGTGCATGTGAGTATATTTCCCTGGACAGTAAAGATCAAGAAGGGAGTGGAGATCTCTCTCCAAAGTAAAAAGTGTTCCATCTAGGTCAGCAATTGCATGAAGAATTGAATAGTTGCTATAGACCAAAGGAGTGCAAAAGGTGATCATGAAAAACATGTAAGCAGGTACTGTTAACAAGTTTTGTGGCTGTGGGGACATAGAATATATTAGCCCTTGTCCCGCTAGGATGTTTAGGGGCTGTTTAGCGTTCTCTGTTATAAAATGTAACTTACTTCTCATAAGTTACTTCTCATGTTCCTTTACAGTTCTGAGTGCCCACAATCCTGCCCCAGAATTGGCCTTGTTCACAATTTTTGTCCAACAGATTTTCTGCCTGGCATGCCATTCCCCACACAGACAACACTATAGAACAGTGCACTTTCAATGACATTGTAATAAAACGTGTCACTGCAGACCGTCATCTCAGGAAAACAAGAAGGCTCTGCTCCTTCCTGTAAAATATGTCTGTCTTCTCTTTATCAATGTAGATTGACTGGCACTGTGTTTTAGATTCAGTCAGGTCCACCACCAACTCCTTGGTCTTGGTGGTGTTCAGGAGGAGACAGTTTATTCTAGTAACTGAAGGCCTCCACAAGGCCTCAGGTTTATCATTAAAATTCTGGACTTATTTTGTAGCTAAAGTCCGTTGTGCACAGGGTTAAAAGAAAAGGAGCAAAACAGTCCAAGGCGGAGTTCCCGTGCTACATTCCTTTGTATCGGAAACACATTTGTCAATCCTGAAATATAGTACTCTTTCAGTCAATTGCACTGTAAGCAAGGGTGTTACAAGGGGGCATGCACCATACTGAGAAGCTGGTCTGTCAGTATGGGCGGCTGTATAGTGTTGAAAGCACTGGAGAAATAAAAGAACATGGTTCTTACATATGAACCCGGCACATCCAGATAGGTACCAGTCCAACGCAAAATGTAAAGAATCACTATGTCAACTACAGGGCAAACTGAGGAGGGCCAATATCCTCCTCATAAAACAAACAAAAAAACACTCCAAGGTATTCATTATATGGCATCCACAGGTCTGTAATCATTCAATTTCACTGGCCGCCCCAATTTTAGCTCGAGTGTCAAACTGGGAGTTTTCCACAGGACTGGGATGTTTTTTTTTATTTGAAGGCTCATGCCTCAGAAAAGGAACTGCTCGTTCTTCAGTCCTTCATAAGCCTTTTTTATACTTCATCTGCAGCTGTATCCTTTCCTGACCAAAGTGTGCCAGTAAGTGTAAATAGGTTAAATTGTCAACTAAATAACTTGTAAGCAATTGAGGTTTAGCTTCCCTTTACTGCAGCTTTGATACTGACAATGGTTGCCCTATTAAACTACTGTTTTGAGTGCTATGCATTAACACATAGCACTCAATGAATTTATTGTTACTTAAAAGCCAAAACGACTTCATCCAAGAAAATTGAGACCCCTTTTTTCTAAATCCAGTCTATATACTTAAACAGACCAGACCAATAGTGGCTCCTCCATACCAAAGCCTCAAGGGAGTTGCTAATCAAAAACCCAGCAACCCTTTGTCAGCTCTGAAACAGGACCACAATAGTCGTGCCTTCTGGGTAAACCCCATTTTGTGTGTTTCTCCATTATGGCTGGTCAGAGGAACAGGCACTTGAAGAACAGGGGCCATAAATCTCACTCAGCCATATATGTCCCTATGTCACTCCTGACTCTAATCTGCAAGAAAGCATTGAGCTTCTGGGACACATTCTCTAGTGGTCAATACAAAAATACTGTTTGGCTAGACAAACTTTCCCTGGTTACAAAGGCATCCTATTGGTGACTTACAGAGGCGTGACTCATAAGACTAGAAATCATGTGGAAATAATCCAAAGAGACCAATTTCATTTGGAAAGAGAATTATTCAGTCAAATGCGTTTTTGAAAATAGCTTTTTATGTAAATTCTGCACATACTGATGCAACATAGTATTACTTCAATCTTTTCACGACTAAATTTCCACCAAATTAAAACTGAAAATGTCTGAAATGTTTCAATATGCATTGTACAGATAACACTATTAAAGATAAGACATAAGACACTGATCCATATTTAAACAGAGGCCAACTCTGATTAGTTATTCTATGACACAAAAGGTTTTTGTTTTTCATCTCCAACAAAGAACGGTCACAAATGCAACTGTCACGGCCACTTCTTAAGCAGACACTGGAGTCTGGTGAGTGAGAAGACACATTTATTTCTCTGCCAAGTCAGCTTCAAAAGCATCTCCTACGTTAATGGAGAATATTTCAGCACTAAAAAAACTTATTTAATGACTACTTTGAAAAATAGAAAAAAATACTCACTTCTTCTGCTTTCATGAGTTTTGGAGTTTTGTAAATTATCGTATGACAACAGTTTTTAAGGCCTTTTGAGATGTTCCAGTCTGAAGTGAGATGTTGTCTAGATGTTGTCACAGACTGCAGAAATCTAGTGGGTAACTTGTCAAGGCAGCATGTTGATGTCAGATTCAACAGATTAAACTGTTTTGTTGGTCTTTTGTTGAAAAAAAATATAAAAAATATCAAATGAAGATTATGAGAGGAAATAGAATGAAGAATCAAGAATGATTGCTTACATTAACTCATTCGCTGCCAAAGACGTCTATAGACGTCTTTTCAAATCCGACCGTTCGCTGCCAAAGACGTCTATAGACGTCTTTTATGTTTTTCAATTGCGAGTGACTTGGGGGACGATCGGCGAAAGTTTTTCCGTAAATATCGGCTTCTAGACAGAGTATGGACTAACAAATTTACCCTCTAGGTAGCTGTGCCACTTTTGATGGGAGATTAGCATAGATTGTAAGCAAATAAAAACAAACGCAATGGTTCGCTATGAGAGAAATGGCGCCGGTGAGACGCACGTCGAAGAAGAACGGAATAAGGTAGAAACAAAATTTTTTTTCCTGATGATAGAAGGGAGTCTCCTCTTTCTTTTGGTGTGTTTGGTGTTTACATAGTCAAAGCACAAACTATTCTGTGGCTCTTGAAAAATCTGTCAAAATTCTCAAAAAACTCTGGCAGTGAGCGACTCTCTGTTCTGAAAATGGCTGGCAGTCAATGAGTTAAGATCTGATATTGAATACTGCGTTGCATGTTTGACATTAGCTAATGTTGACTGGCTGAGGGCCGAGAAGGGAACAACTCTTCTCTGATGATAGAATCATCATTTCAAATTTGAAATGCAGTCATTAAGAACTTGTTGTATCATTTAGCTTTAAGTTGGGAATAGCAGTTTTTACACCACTTTCTTTGGAAGTAAATACGCACTCCTTCACACTGGATTCCACAGGAAGTTTGCAATGGAGTCCCTTTTTGGTTTATAAGACAAAATTCTTTCTTGTAGTGCAAGATTTTCTTGTAAATTCATCTGACAGCTTTCACAGGGAAAAAATCTTTGGATTACTTGAGAGGATTGCTGTCACTTGTTTGTCAGGTAAATATTAAAAGAACCAAAGTGGTTCAACAAGTCTTGGGTTATCGAAAAAATAATCAAATCATATCCAGGGCTTGTGAAAAAAGTAGAATGATTTCAAAGCAAATAACACATTTAGGCGGCAAGATAGAGCAGAGGCACGTCTGCACTCTTCAAGAGGAGGATACGTTTTCTATCCTGCTAATTCCTAGTAGGGTCAACGAGAACCCAGAACATGCACACTTCACACAGAACTGCCCTCTTGCTGTGAGGCGAAAGTGCTAACCACCACACAACCGTGCAGCACACGTGGACATGTATGAAGAATAGAACTATGAGAGAAAGGGCTTTTCAGTGCACCATTGGGTTGGAGCAGTTGGTAAAGCGGAAAGCAGCTTGGTCATGGCTGGGTTAGGGCAAGCCACTTTGGAGCCACTGAAACCCTTTATCTCTTTGAGAACAATTCTGATAGCCATGGTACCTTTAAGACATGAAGCCCCACAAGCATTGTTGCTATATCTGAATCCCCCAGAAGGGTCCAACCCAACAATCACTCTAACTGTAGCACCAGACAGGGATCCCCATGGAGTGTATTGTTGTGGACTTCTAGGCATGGTCCTTGTTGTGGAACAACATAGCCGCTGCATTCTTGTCATGTGCTATTTCCCTCAAAGGCCTGAAGCTTATGCATTCCCAGACAAAAAAACTGTGTAGCCAATACAATAAGAATACAATGTTGACCTGGTTAGTTGCACAGTGTCCAGGGGCAGAACTTTGAGACCCAGGTGTTTGGTGAGGTTTGCTATTAACTGGGCGTGATCGAAAACCCAAATGATCTGACAACATTTTCCAGATCTGAGAACGAACTGGGGAAGGGGGGCAAACAAGCCAGTTAGGCTCTGACTGATGTCATGTACAAACACAAACAGTTTGACGACACTCCTTCAAAGGAGATAACTTCTCCTGGGCAGTTACGCTGTGGGTGTTAAGGCCTGCGAGGAAGCGGGGCCTCTTCCCCCCTGCTGATGAGTCACTTGCTGGGATCATCTGCCAATCTCGAGGGAGTGCGAGATGTTCTGTTCTGTTGGTGGTCCTTCACCATCTGGCTGCCTTACACCACTTTGCCCCATTTGATGATTAGTTAAGGGAACCGGACCAATCCCAAGACTATGTAGAACCAACAAAACCTACCATAAGGTCTATTGACCCAGCTCAGTAGCAGGTGTTCTAAAAGAGTGGTTTTTAGTTGATACAAAACTTCTCATCTCATAATTTTCAAAACTCTCTAAAGGAAACAACAGTATTATATTTGTAATTTTGTATTTTAATTTTGTGAAAAAGGCTTTCTCACTGAAAAGAAGATAAAACTGGTGTTTTTCACCCCGTATTTTTATGAACAATTAACACAATTTGGTAGTCACTAGTTAAGATCTGTATGGGTTGGTGTGACACTGTCAGTCATTGCGGATGCAAATAAGTTGATCAATCAAAATAAAAGGGGAGTTTTTTTCTAAAAATAATCTGTTTATTTGAGTTAGTGAGGGACAAAATGACTAAATACTTGCCTATCAACATTTCCTTATTAGGTGCATATACTGCACAACCTTGTGATCCATGTGTTGTTTTATATACGACACTCAGACAACCAGTCTGAGAGAATTTTGTAAGGCTATCAAAAAGGCTATCAAAAATAACTTTCAATCCCCAGTTCAATTAACATACAACTGCCTTTTAAAAAGATGTTACACGATTATAGGCACGAACATAACCAGGTGCTCATAGTTTTCATCCACAATTATTTCAATTGGTAACTTGAACCCAGTTAAATCTCGAATCACCTTTAAGCACCAATAAGGGGTAACTGAACTGGTAACCACATAATCTGCAGTCAAAAGCTCAACCACTGAGCTTCACCTGCTGGAAAGGCTTTAAGTATTCACAAGGAAGACACTACTGTATATAAGTCAGAGAGTTGTGGGTTTGATCTCCGCTACTTGACTAAATTCCACTTGACAAAGACAACTTGGCCCAGCAGGCTTAAGGAAGTGGGCAGGAAATTCAGCCCATCATGTCAGCCTACATCTGCTCTGCTAGAATAGGTTTCTCAAAGCCAAACCACCTCTTCTGACTTTTCTTTTTTTCGTTTCCTTTTTTGTGTGCTGACTCAGTTTTGATATGTATAGTGTATGGTAATGACTTCAAATGACAGTAGCCATTTTCTTTTTAAAGACATCAAAGTACAGTCAAAGAAAACTAGGTGCCAATATAAAAGCACATTTGTGTAAATTATCCATTATTAGGAAAGAAATATGCTGTATAAAGATCTTATTAAGGAGGCCTTATAAAAAAGAAAATTTCCAGTCTAATATTCAAACGGTCTCTAAACATTGTCACTGCTTCAACATAATAAGTCTGTTGGGTAGTCACCAGACAGCAATTGATTCAGACTTTAACGGTCAAATGGCTGCAAATGAAACCATCCCATGTGACGAGTACGCTTAAAGGACTTTACTCTGATCAAAGATGTGATTGTGAAACAGAGCAACTCTGACAGTCATCATATTTGCGGTTACATGTGGCAGGGAAGTGTTCTGGGATTTCCACATTGCTTGAGGGCATGCTGCATCTTTGTGGAGCTGATGAAAAACAAGAAGAGAGGGAGTTGGAGAATGATAGATTTACTTTTTGTGTGGTCAAACAAATGATTCTCTGTTCCATAATCAAGAACACTTTTTCTATGTAATCTGAGTGTAATTTAGTTTATCTGTGTGTTGAAGCACATACAAATTCAGATTTGCTCACAAATTTTTTGAGATTCTAAAGGTTATTAAAACTTGAATTAATTTGTTTATTTTCTTGAATAACCCTGTGGGATGCTTTAACACACAAGGCAAATTTTATTACTTACCATATGATTGGACATTTCTGAAGACAGGCTATTTTATCACCGAAAACTGAACAAAATTGAAAACAAAAAACAAATACACCCGGCCTGTCTGCACTCAAATATGTTTGCATATAGTGAATTAGTAAAGTGTGTCATGTATGTTTACACTAACTATAGACATACCCTAACCCTAACCCACATGTGACCAGCATGAAAATGCAACTGCATGAGATCAGCACAACATTGAAAAAGGAAGGGCAGCAGTTATAAAAGACAAACAGTCCTCTAGAAAGACTAATGTAATGGGTGGAGGTATTAAGGCCTAATGTGCATGTCCACTGGGATAAAGTGCATAGAGAGAAAGATAAGCTAATACAACTCATCCTCCTTTGTACATTTACCATCCCATGTAGAGGACCTATTGTCTTTGGTCAGTTTGGGCCATCTTTTGTTATTTCACATGCAATATAAAAAAATTTGAGGTCAGTTTCCCTAAATCTCTTGCACGTGAGACGTCTGCTTGAGACAGTTTTATTCTTTTCTTTTTTTTTATTAACAAAGGTCCTTTGTTACGTTTTTCACGGTCATGCAGTAAGAAAATAAATTTGCACCATTTTTAATATCTTATTATTCCATGTCAGAGAAGGACATCAAAGTCAGACGACTTAATCTTTTTATACTCAACAAAAAACAAAACAAAGAGACAATTCTGGCTAACCTCCCATGATCTCGGTTACAAGGTCAATCACAATCTGTCTCTACATGCTAAAAAGGGTATCTGACATTGTATTCAAATTGACATCCCATTTCTCCTTTGTTATTTTAGGTTTGACATAAGTGGCTTGAAGAACTGCTCTCCTCGAAGCTCACGGAGTGATAAAGCAGTCATTTAATGCACACACACATTTCCATGTGATTCAGTTCCACTGATAATGATAAAAATTAATGGCTCACTAGTTGAATAACATAAAAAATAAATACATTTTTCATTTAAAAATGAAAAAATTAATAAACCAAATATATCAGTTGTATTAGCATTAAGGTAATTTTCTATTTGTTTTTTTACTGGAATTCTGCATTATTCTGTACTTCATCTTTTATTTCAAATAAATGTTTTCCTAAAGTTAAACAGTCACCATTGTATTTCTTAACTTGTTCTCCGTCCAAGTTTAAGTATATATTCATGTTCCTCTTCTAGGTTTTTATGTTTCTGTATGCTTTTTTACAAACATTTTTAAATGTTTTTACCCTTTTCTGTGCATTTAACAGTGGCTCAAAGAACAACTCTGAAGGACAATAATTTCTGAAAATCAATTAATCTACTTATTAATCGGAATAAACTATTTCAAACAGATAACTATCATACTATTCTCATTGCTTGTTCATTTAAAAAAATCATTTTAAAATGAAAATTAAAAGTAATAATCCGCAAAAGTAATAATCAGTAATAATTAAAAGTACGTATCAGAAGTTCTTCAATAATCCCAGATGGAAATTATTTACATATATATCAATTCAACATGCATTTATGGTTGCTTTTGTGTACTTTGACATTGAAAATAAGAAAAAATACATAATTCAGACTGAAAATATCAGATTTATCTTTCAGATGTGAGTGACTTTTCCATTTCTATCATGCAAAAGTTCAAAAGTATCAAGCATTTTTTATACCACTTATTCCAGATGGGGTCACAGTGTGGCTTGGGCCTTTCCCAAATGACAACAAGCGGTGTACAACCTGCCGCTCACCGGCCCATTGGAGGGCCACACATGGTCTTAGGGGCAATTTGGAATTTCCAACTAACCTACCATGCATGTTTTTGGACAATGGGAGGAAGGGTACACGAGCCAAGAACACTTTTGCTGTGAGGCAACTGTGCTAACCACCACACACACCAAACACCACCCTGCCTCAGAAAAATCAGTTACCTAAAATTAAAAAAGACTTGTGATAAATGTCTGAAATGAATTACCAAATTCCTCAAAAATGCTGTCAGCCAAGAAATCCCAAATCACTTCAGTAGTAAACTACTTCAGCTTCTTTAAAAATAAATCTGCATTAGGGAATCCTACAGAGAGATTACTATTCATTTTACAAGCTAAGACAAAAACAATAAAAAAACAGATCAATATATATTAGCATAATTCACTTTGACTTCACTTTGGGTTAACAATCACACAGTACCACTGCTACTGTAGTCTTTCTATTCTAAAGTTTCTGGATGCCTCACATGAAATGTGAGACAGTGAGGAGGTGAAATAGAGAAAGACAATGAAAGATAAGGGAGGTGAAAAAGATTTGTATCAGTTCCAGCCATCAGATGTATCCGCCTTAAATCTGAAACTAGACCTGCTGGTTTGTCGAAAATAGGCAATCACACTTTTAGAAGTCACTCAAAGCCACAGAGGATAACCAAGAGCATAGCATTTCATTTCTTAAGTCTTCTTTCAAGCTGTAGAAAATTTAAGTGAAAAATCATAATTGATACTAGCTCATTTTTCTCATAATTACAATAAAAAAAGACTTAATCTAAAAACTCATCAGATTTGTACTTAAGTTGATGTGGAATCCTCCTATTAGACTGGATCTATCCACTATTTGCCCTTAAACTGTGAGCTGCCAGTGTGTCATTGTGCATCACTCCTTCTGCAGTGACTTTTATATGGCCTTGGCTGGTGGCAGGGAGCCTCCTCTGTGGCAGTCCACTAAGCCAAATTGATTAGATGAAAGGCCTTTCCCTTTTAAGGTGTCAACCCCTAGATCCACAGCCAATCTCTCTAATGGTGTCCCAGCAACCCTTACCTTACCACAGAGCTTCAAGGACCAAAGCCAAAGAATCAAGACATTTAATACTGGAGAAGGTCAGTGGATACAATTTCCCATTAAATTGTAAGCTGACATTAGCTGCTGCAAGAAATTTGTGAAGGAGTTGGTGTTAATACAAAAATTTAAGTTTTCTGTTGACAATGTAATTCAATGTATACACAAATATTTCCAACAAGATGCTAATGATTAAAGTATCAACATAATCACTGTGATCTTCTGATTTTCTGAGCAGGCTAAAATCACTGCCAATCACTGTGAGAAGAACTTGAACATCTTCACTTTGAGACAGTTTGTTCTGAAAATTGCTACCCACCCTAAAAGAAAAAGTTTAAAAAAGACTCATCTGACACATCTAAAGTTTTGAGACAAACAGTATATAGAGATTGAGAAATTATACCAAAAAAGTCTGACGTAGTGGTAGAGGCAACTCTAGCAGTGATATCATTACAGCAGAATTACATTTACTATTTTAATTTACATCCAATTTCCTATCCAATTATTGGCAGTTTGGCCTCTATTATAATGGAATCTACAATAGGCTCCTGAGACATTGGTAAGTTAAGGGGTTGCGAAGACGAAAAGCAAAGAAGAGCTAGAGTTTGGGACTTTGGGACTCGTAAGAGGGGGAAAACAATCAATATTGATCTTAAAAATGAAGGTTTTAAATAGCCATAACTCTGCCTGACAGCACGGCTGTCAAAGGCACCAGTGCAATATGCAATATTACTCCCACTAATTTGCTCCTCTTCATCTCTAGGGGAACACTGCCTGCCAATCTTTTTTCAACTGCCTGACCATCTATATTTAGGATGTCAGTCAATCAGTAAAGCAAAACATTGTTGTGGTGCTTTTGAGAATAAAAAACATAGGAACATGAACTCCAGGAGAAAATCATATAATTTATAATATTATATTTATTATATAATACAAACTAATCGATTTTCCCTTTTATACCTACATTTTCAAGTGATTGTGTCTAGACAACTGTTAAATAAACATGGAATGTGTGGGAAGCATTAGTATTTTCTGAATAATTGCAGTCAGTTTAATTACACAGGCAGCACAAAATATGAAAAGTGTGTTTTTGTTGATGTATGAAGCATTTGAAATGGTAGTGCATGCACGGTGCATTACATGCTTTCAACACTATAATTGGACAACTTAAAAGTTCAAAAGCACGAGCCAAGTATCTAACAAAATGTGGGCCTTGTTTTTTTTTTTTTTTAAGTTTTATATATATATTAAAAAAAACTGATCTAAACAGAGTATACTCACTCGAGAGTAGAGCAGTTGCTGTGACCTCAATCTCACTGTTGGCTTGGTAGGGCTGGAAGGCCGAAGTTGAACTCATCTCACTGACAAAGAGGTCAGGACTCTGGGTTCCTGTGGAGCTGGCGCTGGTTCCGTCGCCTCCATTGTGGGGATCTTGCTCTTCGTATACAGCAACCAGCTGAAGAAGATGCAAACGCAGGTTAGATGTTTCACCATTGCACAGTTACAATGTAGACATCTGTTAATAATTTCAAATTCAAGTAATCAGTTGTTCAGAGATAAGAATGAAATATCAGCTTTCAGATTATATCACATTGTCATTATTTGGTAAACATATGGAACCATTTATCATTTCTTTATATACTGCCAGGAAAAAACTTGAAATTGATTCAACAATATATAGCAAATTATGTGTTTTGAATTAGAAGGCTTGTGACAAAGTACCTGTAGATACCATCAGAAATGGGTTCCTTGCTAAGCTATTTGTTATGTGAATATATAACACCAGTTTTTTTACCCCTCTTGCACAATTTATAGGTCAATTCTACGCAGATCGACAGGCAGAGAAAAAATGCACGTGTGTGTGTGAATAGGTAATTGTGGCTTGTATTAAAAAATCACTTGGAAATGTCACCAGAAAAGTGCTTTATAAATACTTTTTACTGTAAAAAAATAGTTGTGTACTGTGGTGTGCATTGGGTTGCTACGTTTCGCTTCCATAATAAATATAAGCTCTATTCCATCTAAGGGGACTTGTATATTTCCCATTATAGTCAAGAACTCCTCATAGCATCCCAAAATCACTTGTGTCTAACACACCACTCATTTTCTATATCTCACTTGCTCACACGATACTTTGAGGGGTATCACTTCCCACCTGTTTTTGGTGGTGAATTGATACAGATACCAATTTCATTTATTGGTTTTTTTTATTTTTTATTATTCAGCACATCCATTTTTGCAGCAACAGCTAAATCAAAAAACAAAGTCCCAATGGAACGATTGACTGGCAATCTGCCAATCTGATAATTGTTATAAGAGCATTTCAATATAAAGAAAACTTCTGTATGTTTTTTAGGTTCAAATATGACAGAGAATCTTTTCTTATTCTATATGCTGGTTAATTTATAATCAATATGTCAGGAATCCTGGGATTAAACGTTAGATATATAAAAATCTACTGTTCAACTGAACTGCTGATGAACTGCTTATCATAATGAAGAAGTAAGGATGCAAAAAAAAAGCTCTAAGGCAGCAGAGGATATACGTTGTCAGCTGAAACACAGAAGTCGTCACTGTCAGACATTTGAAAAAAAAAGGAATGGATGCATTCTGGAGATCTATTGCGAGGAGTGACACTAACAGGTGGTTTAAGTGGAGATTGATGTATTTGAAGCAGTAACTGGTGACATTATCAGAATCAAAAACCAATGATTAACAAGTGCTGATGGAGGATTTGATGCAGAACTAAGAACAAGGTCTTTGTGAGCTGATGGACTGTGGCTGTGCAGCAAAGAGACGAAAGAAGAGCCAAAAAAACCATCACATCATCCAATCACAGTTAATGATATCTGAGTTAATGCTTTGGTTAAGGCTCCTGGACTGAGACACAAAAAGACAGAGGTGAAAGCAAGAAAGAGGCCAGGAACACTGTTATAGCAAAGTGGCTGAAGCAGTGCCAAGTAGCTTTCATTTCCAGCAGAATCTGTTACTAGACCTTTCACGAGTAGATTAACCTCTAATTCCATCTAGACATGGCAACCACACAGAAGTTTCATAATCCTAAAAATGCAAGACAGAACATTAGTATGTCCATCAGGGACTTAAGAGGAGTTATTTTTCATTACTTTGCGCTACTTGAAAATGTATGCAGCTATGTCTCTTGACTGAAAAACCCACAAAGTAAGCATTAGTCACAGTTGGGAGCAAACAGCTTTCATGCATACCACATTATAGTGATGTGAAGTTTAAAAATAACTTTTATGTTTTTCCATATTTTTCTATCATTTCAAAATGGGAAAATCTGCATATTATGATGTTTAGAAACACCAGCTTTCCTTTTTATTTAAGAGCGCGCAACTTAAGTATTTATGTGTTTGCTCATTTACACCTGAATCTAAGTCCGTCTGTGAGCACATGGGTGTACCCACAGAACAGCAATAATGCACAGCAACATCTCTGGTGGTTTTGCATATTTTGAACAGACTGCTTCTTCCAATTGCATCCCATTTCCCATTCTCAGATACTCTCAGTCACTGAAATCTACTCTCATTCACTTCTAATCACGCTCCCTTTCTGTCGAGAAATTACATTTTTTTAATATTAAGGGTTATCACGGTCCTGTTCAGCAGGCAATCAGATGGGAAGGAGATCAGCCTATACAATATACAAATGTAAACTGAGGAGAAAATATCTTGTAAGTTTGCCAAATTTTAAATGGACAAATCGTCATGTGAAGACATCAAAGAAATATACCCTGTTTAAAAAATAATAGGACACAATGAGTGTCTTTAGTCTGGATTTAATGGATCCATCTGGATCACCTTAATTTTTCTCCTATGTGCATTGTTCATTTTCCCCTCAGGTGAGTGAGACTGTGTGTGAAATGAGGTTGTGTGCATGGCTTATCTCTACTCCAGGTGACTCCCCAGGCACAATTGTACCCCATCAGTTCCTCAAACCTTGCTGCACACCAACTCCTGTCTTCATACTCTACAGCAGTACAATTGACCATTTATCCCTGACCAAGTTGGAAACCTTGGTCATCATAGTCTAACCTCTTCTCCATGTCCTGTGGGTAGCCAACAGTTGTATTTGCTTGACGCTATCCAGTGCTGGGCCTTTGTATTAGATTTTATAAAAGAATTGACAGAATATTCAAAGAATTGCTTTGTGTTTCAATGCAAATACTAGTAAGAATTTGTTGCGTTTTTGCGCAATGGAAATAAGTCTATAATTTTTTCTTGTTACCAGCATAGACATGTGAAGTTCCAGAGGCTCATGGAATCTCAGGCATTGAACCAAAGTAATCTGGCACCACATTCATGTGTTGCTGAGAGCAACCCGCAGATCTTCAAACACTCTGGCTGCCAGTCAGTCATTTAGAGAAGTGGTAAATAAAGTTTTTGGTATCACACCAAAGTGTTTTTTTTTTTCCAGTTCATTCCAAATCCCCTCAATTTGGTTGACTTTTCCATGGCTTGTAATCTTCAGAGAACTACGTGTGTACCAGATTTGCACAGCTCAAGCCATGCACACATTACCATTTCATAATCAAGAGAGTCCGTATTCATCCTGGATTAAATATTAATAGCGTCTAGAAAGTGCTTGTTCACCCCACTAAAGCAGAAAAGGCATTAAAAGTTCAGTGTTTTAAAAAAGACTTGTTTTTTTTTAAGATGGGGGTATCAAAAAAAATAAACAGCAACTACTGTTAGTCATTTAGAAATCACAGAAAATGTAATTATAACCTAATGAGCTGATTTATAGTTTCCAGGCAGTACACAAACGTTTTTTTTTTTTTTTTACTTCTTCTGTTTTTGATCTGTTTACCAATTTATCCCCAATTAAAGTTTTCAAGAAAAGAGTGTGATTGAGTTTAATTTCAAACAGCTTCAGAAACTATTTGAACTCAAATCAGAAAAGCAGATGCAGCTGGCACTGTTAAAATGTTGTTTTAGCTGTGCCAGCTGTAAAATTCATGAGTACCATTTAGCATTTGGATTTGCCACTTGGAGTTAACCCTATAATGCCATATGTATAGTGGATACAAACAGTTTCTGAAATTGTTTGCATTTAAGACCTTTTGCATTGTCTAACTGTAAAAACGTTGCTCAAACCCCTGTTCTGGACAATCAGATATACCTGGTAACATCAGGCAGAAGACAATACGACAATAATTTTGACTTATCGCATGGTAATAAATGATGACTATCAAAAAATTATTTCTTGATAGTAAAATAAAAACTTCAAACAAGAAAATTAATTTTCTTTATTTTTTCATGGATTAGGCATTAAATGGTTAAATGAGATCTCACAGACACGTAATGTTGTTTAAAACAGTATGAAGACTCTAGACAAGTAATGTGAAAACATTGGATTGCAAGTAAAACAAGTCAAAGCCACGTGATCTACAGATAAAATGTATCCCTAAACTATGTCAAGAGAAGTTTGAATTGACAGAATGGCGTGGCTCAAAGGTCGATCTCTAGTGGGAAACTTGAGCAGTTTGGAGGCAATTTCTTGAAGAGCTGGTTCTGAAATGTCTCTTGAAAGAAATAGTTAGGAAATAGTTAAGAAAATCCCCACCCTGGCCTCTGTCTGTGTTACGGAGATGAAGAAAAACAGGCCAGAAGAAAAACTGATTAAACATTTGCTGTTGCTGGACAGAGGTCAACTGTCAGCATGTTGAAAGACATCACGGCATGCTTTCCCTCATTTTGGTAATTAGTCACAGCCACTTTACAACTGATACAATTCAGTTTTATTTGTTTGTCACATTCTCACTCTCTCCCCCTGTAAACTGCAACGGAAATAAGCTGGAAGTTTTTCAGAAGTAGAACAAAGTTCTTCAGTGATGCCAGGACACTAACAGCATGGTTAATTGAAAAGCGTAGAGGCATCTGAGGCTCAGCATTTGAAACTGATAGAAGTGAGGGATTCAGGCACGGACAGCTTAAAAAGATGGTGCTGCCCACGATAAACTGCTCAAACGGACACCAAAGTTGGGATGAGTAAGAAGGGGGAAGGAGACCACATTACAGAGCCGGAGTTGGGGGACATTTTCCGGTTTCCAGTCTGAGGATAAACTTCAGAGCTATTTAAAAAAACCTATTTAGCTCCTACCTGCTTCAGTTGAGAGAAGCGCGGAGAAGAGAAGAACTGGCTGACTCTTATTTCATGGACCTGTCTCTCTCGCTCTGTCCCTTTCTTTCTCTCTCCTGAAGTGAGCTACAACATTACTGCTGCCTTAAGCCCCCAGAGCGAGGCTGACACTCATCCACTTTCAGTCTGTTCCACTGACTGTCACAGCACCTGCCAATCAACCACTATCTACCTAGAGGCCCGAAGGCTGCTAGAGAGAGGCAAGACTAAGGGGTGGTGAGAGACAATGATGAAGAGGGGTGAAGAAGTAAAGGATTGAAGAGAAAGCTAAAGAAAAAGACAGTCAACTGAGGTAAGGCATTCTTGGCTGCTGAGGCCCTAGTTGTATTTGGGAATTGGAATTTCCATATCTTTAATGAAGAGACTAAGGATACATGGCACCAAGAAATATAATCTCAGGAATGCCTTTCATGTTGGCATCCTTTGATCTCCTTGCAACTTCTGGCAGCAATATGAGGTAGAATAAGATATGGAAAGAGAGTTGATGAGGGGAAATAAGAAGGCATTTTGACAACCTCTCTCAATATATTTTCTCCCCGCATCTGACGAATACACCCCTCTACCTCCAAAACGTCTGATCAACCTGGTCGACCTGGCATTAGTGTAGGCAACAATGCAACCCAGATGTCTGAAGCACTCATAACTGGCAAGCCAACATGAGATATAGCAGAGGTCTGCCATTAGCTGTCACGGGATCAATTGATCCAAAAGAAGGATGGTATACACACTCCACAATGCTCAAACACTGATTTATCTCCATATGCCGCCACAATTTGTAACAGCAGAGGTAGAATCATCGTGAAATGGTCAGCTCTTCAGCGGAGGCCTGTCCACTCCATCCGGATTCAGTGACCATAAAACTTAAGATAAAAGTTATGTTAAGCTGTATCATGGTGTGAATATTTAATTCAGAAAAAAAGGAATTTCATATTAGTTAGATAATTCACAATGTTTCATTGTTTGTTTTTTGTTCTTAATGGTCCCATGCAAAAGTGAACCTCACTATGCTTTATTATTACTTAATAAAAAGCCTGATCTGACTTCCATTTCTTTTTCTTTTTTTCTACATGTAAAAAAAAATGTTGTGATATAAGATAGGTTTGCCCCCTGTTTGCTCTAATGAATAAAATAAATATATGTTAAATTAAGCAACGGCAGACATACATTTCAGGGATATTGTCCAAAAACACATACACAAGCACACACATTCACACTCACATCCACAGACAGACCAGGTTTATCTTCTCTCGCCGTCATTTGTCATCATTTTATTGCAAGGGCACCAGTGCTGCAAAGTTATTATAGGCTCGATGCTAGTGGAAACAGCAAAAGCCACTTACTTCAACAGAAGCTCCAAGGACTCTAAACTTGTTGAGTAATGGCTATGAATGACCCCAGCTCCTCCACACATGACTCACCTATCCATCCATCTGTCTATCCATCCATTCACCCCAATCCTCAAAGATTAATAAAACCTTCAAAACCATGAATTACATACAACTGGATCATCCAATGAGCATACCGTTTGCCCCCGCATGCTTTTGCATAGAAACAGTACATGTCCTTATTTATCCAAACACAAAAGTTCAAGTTTAATAAATCTTTCATGGCCTTAGGCAACATAAGAGTGGACAGCCATCTTCCTATAACGGAAAAGTTATAGAAGTTTTTTAATATTTAATCATTCCGTGCGTCCATTATTTCTCACACACCATGAATCAAACAAACCAACAAAGTGCTTAGTCCTGTATTTTTCCTGCTCATTAAGACCATCAAATATTCAGAGTATAACTCTCTAGCACTATGCCCCATCACTAGCATTCCAGATAACCGTCACACAGCACCCAGCACCCTGCAGCTCTTCAGAAACATATGCATATTTCAGGTGCTGTCACATGAGGTTGATGCAACGCAACATGACTCCAAAGATTTTCAAAGACCTGAAATGATGACACAAAGGGGAAAGATGTTCTTCTTGAGGAAGTGTGTGGATTAGCTGTCAGACTGTGTTCATTTATTTTGTAGTTGCAGAGTCATTCGGCCTCGGTGGCAGCAAACACAGAAAAAATATAAAGATCTCTGACAATAACGTTGAAAGATCCTTCCCTAAAATGAATTGCACAATCTAGAGCAATATGGACACCAAATTGCCTACCTATGTGTCAATCAGTGTATTCATTTTCGTGCAAATGCATAAAAAGAAGCACTGTATAGCCCATAAGGCTAATGTGGGCTGTATGTAAGATTGTGTGAGTGAATGTGGTCTGCAGTCTTAAAGTGCTTTGAATGGTCAGCAACAATAAAACAACACAACAAATGTGCATTTTAATTTCATGTATGCAGGACCCAAGGCTTGCTCGTGAAGCGTTTGGAGGGTGGGGGCAAAGCTGAGAAAGAACATCTCTTTCAGGAAAACGACTGCATAGTCAAGATTAATCATGCATGAAGACATTCGCAACCCACGCTTTCAACAGTAAGTTTTACAGTTGCAAAAGTACTGGCAGTTGTCACATATTCCTCTTTGAAAATGATTCCATATGGAGCCTGTTATTTTTTAGCATGTTTTGGCTCTAAATGTTTTTCTTTCCTTTTCATGTTAAACTGGCACATTTTGACTTCTAAATCTCGTTTTTTTACAAAAAGTTATAATATAATGAATATCTTCACAGGGTGATGCAGTTTTTACTTTGTAGTTGCACAACTTTTTTAACATTAATGCAATGATGGAGAAAAATTTCTGTCAATAAGGAATAAAAAGGCCTTCTAAATACATACATACAAAAACAGCTGCACCCTAATGATCTGGGAAGCTCTGATGCGACAGATCAATTGAGTTAGTGTAGAATGACCTTGTGACTGAATTTACTGACAAAACTGGTAAAGTACGTTTTTATTTGCTTGTGAGACAACTTCTAACAATTCTTATATGACCTAAAAATGTATCCCACCAAGATACAACTTGTATGAATGCATAGGTCACCAAATATTTGATATTATATTTAAAAAATGTTTGATTGCACAATAGAATGGTGATATGTAAAGGTGTTAAGACTTGTGGAATAAAACCTCCCAGTGCTAACTATGTGCAAAGGCAGAGAGAGGTGGTGGGAACTCATAGTGACAGGATATGATTAATCATAACCCTCTAACAAGTACATGGTTGATTTACTCTTCACCACTTTCTAAAAATGAAGTAATGATTCCTCTCAGTTTTTAAAGAAAGATAGTTCCAGTGATAGAGTTACCACTATAGGGAAAACAACCATGAAAACTACAACGTGGGAGGAATGTTACAGTGATGCAGAGGCAGCGAGGAAATATACAGAGCAAGCAAAGTTTAACCAGATTAGAGACTCAGCCCTTTCAAATCCATGAGGCTAAGTTCTCGTCTGCCTTTGAAGTTTTCCTCCTGCGCTAGGGAAATGAATTCACACATTTTAGGCTGCCGTGCGAGAGTGTTACCTACAACGTGCTGACGCAAGGTAAAATTCTAACTATCACATTCTTCTGTGTATATTAACAACTTCAAACCTCTGGCCAAACAGAGCGTACAATTCATCCGTTGGATGTGTGACTGACAGACAACAAAAGAAATGGATGATATACTGTGAAAAGCTAAAGATAAGGAATGGAAGAAGGTACTGAGAAGAAAAAGCGCAGCTCACAAGTGAAGATGATATATCCGAGGGATAATAAATTACCACTGAAGCAGCACAGCAAATACACTGATAGAAACATTTCTTATCTCAGATGAAAAAATATTTCCAAATGCCAAAATCTCAGGAACATCAACTGTAAGGCGTGCTTCTTTGAAATATTCACCCCATTCACTCTATTGGCAGGAACACTATATAGGATGCAGTCAAATGTATTTTCTAAAAGAAAGCCAGCAGAAAATGAGTCAAACAACATTCTTTAATGAATATGCTGAAGTGAGGAATAAACTGTTATAATAAAGACTTATCATGTACGTTCTACACAGCTTTTGTTATATAACCTGGGACTGCCGTGGGTAGGCCGCCACATAGCCTGATTCCATGTTATGGAACAAAAACAGAGGCTGTTTGAAAGCTCAGACCGCTCAAGATTCAAAGAGAATTGCTCTCAGCACACATGAAAAGACTTCAAAACAAATACCCCCACATACTTAACTACTGAAAGCAAAACTGTACCTCAAATGGATTTCCAGTGCAGCAGTAATTTCACAAGTTTGTTGTGGTCAGCTGTGTGATCAGCACAAGCACATTAGTGCCAAAAAGAAAAAAATCCTTTATTACTGAGAAGTTCAAACAAATTACACATCTACAGATGCAAAAAAGACACTTGCCACCAGATGTAAAAAACAGGTACATGATATTTTTTTTGTTTACATCAGACTGAGCAGTAGGCCTACGGTATTATTTTCATTAAAAGCCAGGAAGAGTACACGGACCTAATCTGATAAAGAAATTACCAAGTTACAGTGATCATAACGTTATACTAGAGGATTAGTATTAAATGTCAAAAACCTCAGTGACTTGTGGAATAGAAAAAGTAACTTAATAGTCATCAAATCATCTTCAAATATCAAATGTTGATGATTTGACGATATATGAGTCAAGGGGTTTTAGTGTAATCCAGAAATTCATGATAGCAGAGTATCGTTCATTATCCAGAAACATTATTATATGCATCGAAACATTCACACTTTAGAACTGTGTTTGGTTACTGCTGAGTAACTGCATCAGCTAACTTCACAAAGTTGTTGAAAGTCATTCTACGGTAATATAAAAGCTTTTTAAATTTTAAGAAAATAACTCCAATGACGTCATCGGCTTGGCCCTGGATGCTACAAACATAAATAAGTAAGGCGGCCTTTTGTTGAAAGCTGTTTAAAAGCTAAGGACTTTCATTGGAGAGTAAAATTCAGCCACATTCCTCCTTTTTTCAAGCCTTACAACACCACATATCAATATATCAAATCAGAGACACTACTGAGTCTTTGAAATGAAGTTCAGTCGATGAGCATTTCAAAAAGCACCGCAAGGGAAGCTAGACATTTTCCATCAAGGGAGGCTGTATGCTCTGTTCGTTGTCAGAAAGACAGGCAGGGTAGGGCTGAGGGGAGCTTGCATTACAGCACTACAGGTTTTTTATAACACAAAACATGTAACCAAGGTACCATATTCCCACTTCCAACCTGCCTTT